TTAAATATTATCTATAGCATAAAAACAGTTTACATGATCATTTTTTTTCCAATTAATCACAAAATCATGATCCTTTTTGGCTGTCACTGTCATCTGTAAAGCAGGAAAATGATTTTTTTAAGACTGGAAAAATCAACCCAGTTGCTGTTTACTGGGGAAATTAAGATTTACACATGGTTTCTGGCAATGTTTTTGAGGTTTCCCAACTATAGACACACCAAGTAGGTTATGTTTAGACATATCGTTACACAATTAGGAGCCATGTACTCCGGGGCCATGTACTAGAAAACCAAGAAAAGCTCTTTCCTTTTTAACATACTTGAGTATGGACTCTCATCTTTTATAAAAGTTGGACAACTGCTGAAAAATATGGGCAACCCCACCTCTGGTCTAAAGGGTGACCTTGTGAAAATTAGAAAAAGTCATCCTGTCCTCAAGCCACCATCAGCCACAGATTGCTCTAGTGACAATCCAGATCTACAGTCAGTCAACACAGGCGTGAATGGCGCCGCCCAGAGCTGAACAATGCAAAACTCTCACATCATGAGCTTTACTGCCAAGAGGGTGAAATCAGATTTCAGCTTCAACATTGTTGGTAACTTTAAAATATCACTCCTCACCTCTGGGACTTAGTTTCCTCATCGGGAAACGCTGAAATAAATACCCTCTTTAAACGGTGTCTTGAGCAACAGTGAGATGGCTTCCTGGCGGGGAGCACTTCAGTATCTGAGACAGCCTCCCCTTGCTCTGTACTGTTCATGTCTTCGCTTAATTTTCCCCACAATGAAACTCTCCCAACCACTATTCTCTCAGGTCAGGGAAATCTCTCCATTGGAAAATATATGTTCTTTAAAATTACAAAAAAGAACACAACAATACCAAAAACCCAAACACAAAAAAACAACAACAAAACTAGGAGGTCATAGGGCATGAGCATGCCCCATAGTAGAAGCACTAGCTTGGCCTAGTTGCAGTTGCTAAGGCTACTGAAACCAATGGGGCAAGCAAGTCTCATTGAGTAAGTGAGTAGCCTTAGCCTCCACTCACTAAATGCCACAAAAACCCCCCGATCGTTATGACATTCAAAGAACACATCCCCTGCCCCGTTTCCAAATACCCCTTTTAGAAGTGGCACTGGCTCTGGTTGACAAACTGTTTTAGCATCAAGTTTCACTTTGGTCTTGGACATTTGCTTCTGAAACCCACCACTATATCTTTGCCAGAATCCACAAAGGCCAGGAAATAAACCTCTTTAAATGGAGAGGGTGAGAAAGTATACAGTACTTAGAAGAGTGCATTGCTCATGGTTTCTCAGAAAAACTGGGCTTCTTATCTCTATAATTACTAGGGAATCTGAAATTCAAACAAATGTCCTAAGGTCACTCATTAAATAATAGGTTGCCTTGACTCTACAAATAAAAGCCATTAAGAGCCCAGCATCTCAGTGTACTTATAATGTGCAAGATAATGATATTAATATAGTTGCCATTTATTGATTGCTTGCTATGTACCAGCATTTTATAAATCTCTTTTCTCCTTTTCACAACTGTATGGAAGTGATTCTCCCTATCTCCTTACACAGATGAGAAAACTGATGCTTTGGGGAGTGCAGTGGTTTGACCAAGTTCTCATGGTTAAGGAAGGGGCAGAGCTAGGAGTCACACAAAAGTCTACACACTTGAAAAACTCAGTTTCACTGCCTTGGCCAGTAGCCACGGTGCTTTCTCATTTGGTCTTACTTTCAAGTAGTAGGAAAAGTAACTGAAATACCTAACTTACGAACCAGGCTACTGATAGTGACACGGAAAACAATTATTTTGTACTGTGTTCTGCCCGAGATATTATTTTTCATTATTGCTGGGACTACTCTCAGCAGGGTCACCTCATTAGCAGAAGAAAATGGCCCCTGTTGTTCTGTGAGAGATGGAGAAGTGTAAAAACAAACTCTAGACAGTGATTCTGTTCCCCTTGTGTAAGGGCTGGAACAGTCACCCCCTTCTTTTCTGAGTCCCAGCCTCCTAAGTGATGTTTTAGTTCTATAGTTGCAGAAGTGTTTTGAAAAGGATGGAAAAAGTTTTACTGAGCTGCCTTCCAAATCTCTTTATCAGTGTTCCCATAATGGAGTATTTTGGGGTGTTGAACCGCTGGTGAGTATGCTGAGCACTGCTCTGTTTTAAATGTGCCCATGTAGGAAAATAACAGTTGGTCTAGATTGGTCCTAAATGGTTATGAGGAATAACTATTAGTGAGACTTTTTTAATTTTATCTTCCAGCAACCTCAAATGCAAACATTTCATCAAATATATATCAATGTAACTATTGATAGACATCTCCCAAGCCATGTGTTGTAGAAACCATCCATAAAATGACGTCACTTTGCTCTCTATGGAGAAACCCAAATGATCTTTTCAAAATTACATTTGATCACAGGACTTGCACTTCATTTAGAATAAATTCGAAATGCCTTGTCATGAACTACCAGGCCTACATGATCTCGCTGCTGCTCACGCCTCTGAGTGGCCCTTTTCCCTCTCACTCACTGCCCTCTAGCCACTCTATTTTTATGTCAGGACTTTTGCATTTACTGTCCCTCTTCATGGAACATGGTTCCCTCCTGATCTGTATTTGGCTGATTCTTTCTCATTGTTCAAGTTTCAGCTCAGACTTCATTTCAACAAAAAAATTGTTCCCTGATTCCCTAACTTTGTCATCCTTTTATATCCATTCACATTGTATTCTTTTGTCTTATTTTTTAAAAGGACTTTTTCAGCATTTGAAATGATCTTATTTATCATTTATTTTCCTGTTTGTTTTTCTGTTACACTAGAATTAAAGTAGGGACTTTTCCCATCTCATTTGTCATTGTACCCCTCTGGCTAATATAGAACCCAGTATATATTAAGGTTCAAGAGAATTTGTTGGATGAATGAATGAGTGAATGAATGAATGGATTCCAGTTCTGTGCCTGCAATGAAATATAAGACTCAGATAAATACCATAAGGCACAAAAATGTTTATTGAGTGGTCCAGATCTCCATAAATGTGGGAAAGTTGAGATTAAAATCAAAATTATAAAAAAAGTTTTTATTATTCCCTGGCTAGCCTATCAAAAACAGGGACTCTATTGGGAAGTAGGCATAAAAGCCAAGAAAACCCAGAACGGCTTTACAGGGAGAGATTTCAGCTCATGCTCTGTTTCTCTGGAAGTTGGCTTCTCCCTTTACGAGCTCCAGCTCTTCTGTGTACTGAGCAGGCCCTCACGATTCTTATCAAAACGTTCATGGTGAACATCAAATCATACCCAAATGTCCTAGTTTACACTAATTTCCAGGGCCTCTCACCAGCCAAAAACATATCTCTTGGCATCCGTCTTTAACATCATCCCTACCGAAAGGACAACATTAGTGATCTGGTCTCCTCTCCTAGCAGTGAACTCGTATTATCTTAAGTCTTTGGGGTTCAGAAATAAATAGCGTTTTCTCTAGTGCCTGTATATGTCCCAGATGTCCTGTTATTGAGTTCACAGAATACAAATGGAAAAGGGTTATTACCAGGCAGAAGCTTTTAAAATGAAAATCAAACCTAATACATGGACTCAGACACCTGGAGTAAGGAATATAATATTTATAAAACTGAGTTGGAGGTTGCAATCATTGCTCCAAAGTAAAGCATTAAATATTAACTCAAAGCAAAGCTGTCTGTGCTGCAGCAAAGCTCTCTTTCATTAAGGTGGCACTGCATGTTTCTCAGAATCACTTCCCCCAAATAGGTAAATAGCTTGTAAGAACCGAGTGTTCTGCAAACTACCGAAAAACCCACCCGAGGCACGATTTAGAATTAAAGCATTACACACCTTTGATTTTGAACCAATTAATTGTGATTCTTGTAGATCCTCTACATGTCTGCCCTTGGGTATCGCTAGGAAAGTTTAATGCTTCTTATTCATCTCCATTTGATTAATCCAAACGGTGCCAGATCATTTGATTAACTCATGTTGCAGCATATTAAATATTAGCAAACCACGGGGGCCAGTTATGAGTTGTACTTTTTAAATCTCCATATTTTTTTTTATTTCAAAAAGTTCATCTTTCATGTTTTTAAATCTTTTCTACTAATCTTCTAGTTCACATTGGTATTATTGGTATTTTTATTAATTATTATGACTACTGTTATTTCCTGTTTCCTACCTTGAGATATACTAAAAAGAAAGAAAAATAAGATTGCTAGTTATTTCTGCCTCTACTGTTGAGATGAGGTTTCCATTTTGCCCGATTTACACCATTCCTCTGAAGCCCTGAAATAAATAACCTTGTAACCTCTAGGCCCCATTGATTTTTGAATGATTTCAAATAAAAAGTTTCCACTTTCCATTGCATTGACAAACTGCCAGTCCCTGGGCGAAACCTATTGGATTCCCATTAAATGGAGGGGGCAGGAAACAACAACCAAAAATTCCAAAAAAGGGACTTCGAAATGGAGCAGGGAGAGGTGGTGGAGGCTCAGCTCAGTAAATGGGTACTTAACCTTTGACCAATGACGACAGGTCCCCTTTAGTTCTATTAGACCAAGAGCAAGCTGTTATGATTTAATAAAAAAGAAAAAACTGTTTAGGGCTTTACTGAATATGTCCTGGGAATTAAAGCATATGGCAGGGATAAGGAAAAAAGATTTGCCTTATGCTAATGACCCATGATGTCTGAAATAAATTAGATCCATTAGAGTTATGCTCAATAAAAGAAAGACTTTAAGCACTCCAAAGTTAGTGACTCGAGACCAGTTTTTGCTCTGAAATTCAATCTGCCTACTTATTAATTCTTACTGAGACTCCAGAGCAGGCAGGAGATGCAAAAGCATAGTTCTGCACTGAGCCCGAATTTTAAAGGACCCTGGGATTCGTTTTCTTTTCTTTTAATGAACCATTTTTCATGCTTCTCATTTTGTGTTCCTCATTAATTTGATTTTGTTCCTATTTTTGTGTCATTTTTTTGTTTCTTTTCAAGGTTTCATTTATCCTATTTCAACTGAACAGAGAACCCAGAATGAATATGGATTTTCTTGTAAGTCTGATGTTTGGTTTTTATGTTGCTGAATAATCTTTTAACGTTATCGCCCCCAGTTCAAGTTTACCTTTCCTTAGATCACAGATGTGCACACAGGAAATAGGTGCCTAATATATTCTAACATGAAAAGCAAATTAGATTTTCACCGCGGAAGAGAAGAAAGGGTCATTTCGAGTCTCTGCCCGCTTTCAAATCTATCAGCCTACATCCAAAGCTTGGGCCCAGTAGCTGACAAAACATATCGTAAAAAATGCTGATGTAAATAAAAGGCTGGGTTAAAATGCTAAAAAAGTAAAGGGTTGAGAAAATGCAGATCTATTGAGTTAGAAATCATGAATGTTGAATAAGTAATTGCAGCCTGGTAAAATAAAACATTAAGGATTTCGGTATCATCTTCTGACCGGAGTTCAGAATCCTGCCGCGGGCCTCAGGTAGGACCTGGCAGCAGAGTGAAGCCAGCACTTTGAAAGCAGGGCTCACACAACCAAGCTTGGGATGCTACTGGTTTTCTGAAAAAAATCTGTGCATATTGACTTGATTGGTAGGAAAGCGGATATTCTGGACACTTGGGGAAAAACAGTGGTTTAAAAATAAAAATAATAATAATCCTTTCACATACAGTGCATTTAAATACAAAACTCTAAAAGAGATGTAGTGATTTTCAACAGACAATTTCTTTGTACTGCCAATGCCTCAAAGAAATCATGATATGACAGTGTAGGTGGTGCCCTGAGCCACTGGCAATTTGAATGAAGTCACTTCACTGTATAAAGCTTGTCTGTGAGTCTTAGGAGAGAGCAGTGGTTCCTCAACTCTTAGGAGGTCCTGGGACCTACAAATCTGCAATCCCCCCAATGCACGTAGATACAAAATTGAGCATAAAAAGGCTGTTGACCACCTGGAGTACCTGTTTAATCACCTCCTTTACAGTGAGCCTAGAAGCGTCTGTTAACGTTGCTGCAAACTTGTGTGGGTCCCAGAAAACTAAAAACAGATTTAAAGATGTCAATAGGATTCAAGAAAAGTTTACTTTTGTTTGTTTTATTTATCACCTTTTGCCATCGGATCAAAGCATGTTCTATGCCACCAAGGCAACATGCAATATTTACAGGAATTTTCTTCTCTCTTTACCCAGAAACACCCCCCTCCTTCACCCCCCATCTGACCACACACTGTGTTGGTCAAATGCTTATTGCCTTCAGGGCTAGTGTGACCTTTCTGATCACTGAACCAGGCCTTTATCTTACTCGGTACACCGTAGAGCTGTATTTTATTCCAGTAATGAGTAGCTCAGATGTAATCTCTGACAAGAGACCGTGAGAAGCTCAGGGTTCTCAGAGGTAATACTGAGTCTGGATAAAAGCCCGGAGTTACCGTGGCGACCTCTGCTCCTCAGATCTGGGTCTTCTGAAAGCACACCTTTCAGGTCCAACATGTTTGCTCCTAATATTTGCTTTGCGTAGTTACACCATCCCCACCCACCCACTCCTTGATTTAGGGGAAAGTGAGAAGAGTCCTACAGAAAGTTATTTTGTGACTTGGAAGGATTCTAGGAAAGTATTCTGGTTCAGTAAATATACAGATTCAGAACATTCCAAATATTTCTAGCAGAGTGTTTATGTTTTTAGAGAACTATCAGTGAGTTCCAGCCACCTTCCAAACTTTCCACCTGAAATTTGCAATAATCTTTTTGTCTCCTATGGGTCAGGAAGGTTTTAGCTCCAGTTTCTTTTGATGCCTTGGAATGAATGATCCGTTATGCTGCCCCATTTAAGACAGATGAGTGGGTGGATAGACGCAGAGTAGGAAAGGGAAAGAAATCAGGGATAATTTTCCACTGAAAGGCCACAGTTGTTTTATATAGCTTTTGAATTAGATTTGAAATTAACCTATAAAAAAAGACAATAAATGTCTGAAAAAATTATAGCAATACGCATGTCTGCTGTGGGAAACTTCCCTAACCAGTGGCCAATGTTTCCTTCTCCCATCTAGCTGCTCCTGATTCAGATGACATTGCTCTGTATGTTGGCATCGTCATAGCAGTGATTGTTTGCCTGGCCATTTCTGTGGTTGTGGCCCTCTTTGTGTATCGGAAGAATCACCGTGACTTTGAGTCTGATATTATTGACTCTTCGGCACTCAACGGAGGCTTTCAGCCTGTGAACATCAAGGCAGCAAGACAAGGTCAGTTGACATTGAACTTCACATCTACAACTTATGCAAATAAGTAACCTCCCTGTGTGGCTTTAAAATCAGTGCGATATCCAGTTCAGCTAGACCGTAAGCTCCATGAAGATAGGGGTTTGGTCTGTTTTGTTAATGACTGTATTAACTTCATTCACTTACGTTAGAGTTGACAAGGTGCATGGATCTTTTTTTTTTTTTTCTCTAACAGGTTTCTCTGTCATACTTTTTAACTTTTAGTTGAAAAAAAAAGTATATGGACTGTTTGATTCTGGAATCCCCTTTTTTCTCTTTGACAGGGCATCTTGTATTGCTATGAGTACAGTGGTCTACAGATGAACTGAAATCCAGTAGAGACAAGGGGTCTAATACCTATAGTCACCTAGTGGGGTTCACTATCTAGGATTCTCATCTGTTGAAATAATTAAATACCTTCAGAGCAATGAGTAGGCTTCAAGGCAAAATACAGAATCTGTCTATTTATTTGTAGCCAAACATAAAATGGATCCTCGTCATCTAATTGCCCTGTTTTCAGCAAAACTGTAGAGTCCATATCTCCAATATTTGCTGAGTTTCTCTGCATTCGACTCATAAGTGTCAGGGGGAGACTGACTAATGTAAGTTGACTGAATGAAGTATTCAAGTAGATTCCTTTTCTCTTTCAGATCTCCTGGCAGTACCTCCAGACCTCACATCAGCTGCAGCCATGTACAGGGGACCTGTCTATGCCTTACATGATGTCTCAGACAAAATCCCCATGACCAACTCTCCAATTCTGGACCCGCTGCCTAACCTGAAAATCAAAGTGTACAACACCTCAGGTGCTGTCACCCCCCAGGATGACCTCTCTGAGTTTGCATCAAAGCTGTCCCCTCAGATGACCCAGTCCTTGTTGGAGAATGAGGCCCTGAACCTGAAGAGTCAGAGTCTGGCAAAGCAGTCTGATCCGTCCTGCACCGCATTTGGCACCTTCAACTCTCTCGGGGGCCACCTTATTGTTCCCAATTCAGGTAATTCCTGAAGGTTTAAAACACAAAGATGGAGCTTTAAAACGTTTTTTTTTTGTACCAAAATATTTTTTGTTTGTTTTTGTGAGGCCTGAAAAGTTCAATGTAGCCTATCTAACCCAACTCTACTTTCAATGTAAATCTACACTCCTTCAGACAAAATCAGCAAAACCATCCATCTTCCTGCAACCAATTCTGGAAACACTTCCTCTATAAATATTATGCTCACAGCTTTCTGCCAAGGTGTCATTTAGAACTGTCATTGACCTTCTTTTAACAGAGCTTCAGAAGGCACATCCAGCTAGAAGCTCTCGCTGTTGTCAACGCACTTTAAAAGGACAAATTAATTAGAAAACATATCAGTTGGTTCAGTTCCAAATCACTAGAGGAAGCAATACTTCAGAACACTAATTTCTAGATGATCAGAGGACATCATAATAGACGTCCAATCTTTAGTTATTAACTCTTTATTGCAGTCTTTAGCCTCAAGGTGTTAGAAGATCCTTACTCCTGCTCCTGTATAGCTATCTAGAACCACAGCTTCCGCATGTGTCCTTTGGTAGTATTATTTAGTTTTCAGTTTTTTATTGAGTCATCTGCTTCGAGAGAATAAGCCTCATAAAGGTCTGAAATTATGAGTTTAAGTTAATGACTAATAGTGTGTTTGTTAAACTTTGGCATTCATTGATCAGTAGTAGTATTAGGTTTGGAACTATGGAGTCATAAGAGGGTTAATGGATTCCTCTGTGAATCAGACGTCTCTCTTTTGGACAAGACTGAGTATTTTGCAAATGCAACATTAAGAAACAATTTGTTTTTCATGTAACATAAGAAAAGCATGTAATGTGTCAGCAGCCATACAACCGATATACAGAACCAACTGGTCTTCAGGGTCAGAATATGAACGTGTCTTTGATTCTTCCTCTAATTCAGTCCCCCATTTCAATGCCTTGGTAATTTTGCACCCCATACCTTTAAAAGTATATTTTAAGAAATTTAAATAGTTGATGAAATATTATTTTTCTATACATTTTACATAGTTGGGATAATACATTATATGAAATGCTTTCTTTACCTTTTTCTCATTAAGTTTCATGCTCTTGTATGTGCATTAGAAACCATTATTTTAAATATATTTTAATAGTCTATCAACTGGATAGGAAAACATATACTTTATAGCTCTTCATTGTTTAAACATTATATTATTCACAAGACAATGGTTTTTTAAATCATATTCACTGAAGTCTACCTTTCCTTCCCATTTCTACACCTGATACTTTTTCACAGATTAATTATTATAAAGACTTCTCAAGTGGAAAGGAGGGAACTAGCATATGTCCAATACTTTCTGTGTACTAAGCAAAGGTGATTTACATACACTGTTTTATTTAATAGCGTAACAATAGTTACCTAAAGTATGTCAGGCCTTCTTCCTGTTATTTGACATCCATCATTTTATTTCATCCCCATAACACATACACAGGTACATTTTACTGTTCCCATTGGAAAAAGGAACAATACTGAGGCGTGGTAGCCTGATGTGTGGTCTGCCTGCTTCCCCTCTGTGCCTCAATAGACCATTCACTATACCAGTGTGACACTCCACGTCCCACAGCGGCACAGCTCCCACGCTACTCACCTTCTCAGGAAAGCCAGGCCTCAACATTTTCAACCTGTTTTACAAAGGCCTGAATACCTACTTCTCCTTAATTCTCCATTCTTTATTCTTGAAACTTTCCAGTGTGGTCAGGCAAGTTTTCATACTGCCCTCCGCTCATTTGGCATATTCCATTTCCTTGCTCGTTAAATTATAAGCTTTTCAAAGATAAGAACCCTATCTTTTACTTCTTGGCATTCATAACAATGCCAAAACACTGTACTCACAATGGTGCTCCATAAATTTTTAGTGAGTTGGAATAAGCTGCCTTTATTGGAATGAAATCATGAAGCTGAGTACCTTCAGGTTGCTGCCCACCCTGAATTCCTCTTTGAGGTGATGCTGCAGTGGTGCAGGCCCGTGCTTCTCGCAGTGTGGTCCACAGGCAACGATCCTGGCATCACCTGGCAACTTGTTACAGCTGCAAACATGTGTATAGTTTTGTTAGAACTGGCAAATCAGAAACTCCGGGGTAGGATCCAGTAATCCATGTTTTAGCAAGTCTTCCATGTGATTCTGATGCAAGTTCAAGTTGCAAGCCATTGCTATAGGCACAGTTAACTAGAACAGAGGTCAATCCAATGTCCTACAAAATGGCACTAATTCACAACTAAGTAAAAGCCTGCTTGATGGGTTGTGAGTACAACTAGTAGGTTCTGTTCACTTTCTGGAGTTATGTATGATGAAAGGAGTTCTTCATCCATTATTATTCTGTCCCGGAATAACACTGATGCTAACCAGATACTTCAGAAATATATGTTTTTTATATTGCCGAAGTTAGTATTTCCCTGACTTTGAATCCTGCGGGGATTTTTCTTTTAATTAGAAACAATGCATCATTACAGCTGTTTGAAATTTTAAGAGCAGTTGTTGGTCTTCCCCTCCTTTTACAAGGAAAATGACACTGGAATCATCTGTCTATTCCTTAAATAAAGCAAGAGTTTTAAAAATTAGATCATGCATTTAATTCTATAACAGTTCAGAGGGAGCTGTGGTAACAAATGAGGCCAATAAGGAAAGAAAGCCAGGCAGCCATGAGTATCTACATGTCTTTAGAGAAAAAGTAGGCTTATGGCTACATGGCCACAAAATCTCACTCCCTTTCCCTTGCTTCAAAGGCACTCTGTGAAGTTTCCCTTTGTGTCAATACGTCTTGTGTAACTTCTCCTCTTCTCTTTTGCTCTTCAGGAGTAAGCTTACTGATTCCTGCTGGGGCCATTCCCCAAGGGAGAGTCTACGAGATGTATGTGACTGTACACAGGAAAGAAACTATGAGGTAAATATGTTTTTTCTTTCGGGTGCACTTGACTTTATCAATCATGTCTGAGTTGAAAGAGAATTGTACAATAGACATAATAAACCCAAAACATTGTGTCTTAAGTGCCCTGCTTCTGGCATGCCCTTGTCTCCCAAGATGTATAAATGTGAATGTTTACTGCTCTTTATCTTTGAAGCTGCAGACACTTTTGAGGATCTTGAGAATGGGCAGAAGACCAGAGATCTCTTCCCAAGTAGACTTGTGGCCATATTAGCTGTAAAAATGGCCATACACATGATCCAGAGAGACATGACCCATAGGTTGATCAGAGAGACGCGTGGGTAGACACAGAGACATCAGGTTCATGTGGCCTGGCTCAAGAATCCAACCTTTTCCCATCATTGAATTAAAGGTCACAAAGAATTAGACAAACTCAAACCTGTGACTGCTACCCCCACTTCAGCCTCATTCTCTCTTCTCACCTGTAGATTCTTCTTTTTGTGACTCTTTCTAACTTAAGTATTATCAACCTCCTTCTTACGTTTACCTCCTATGAATTCTATGCTGGGCCTTTCTAAATGGAGCTAGGGTTGATTAAAACTAGAATGAACCAAAAGGTTCCATTTTGAATATGTCATAATCATAAAGATGCAGCTATTTTAAGTGAAAATAGCAAGAGTTTCGAGGTCCTAAATTCAATTTTCAGTCTGGCCTCCAACGAATTCTGGTATTTCTTGCTTAGTTCCCACCTAAAGTGCATGCATCCAATAGTGCTTTAGAGGCCTGACTGATGTATGCTTCCAGAGTACATACATCTTAAAATAAAAGATGTTGTTGAAATAATGATCCTTACATGTAATTTCTGCTGTTTTTTCCCAAGGGGAAAGGCATCAACTCTTTAGTCCTGAGCTCAGAATACAAAGCATTAGTGACAAATGTGGAATTGGGTTATCATTATAACACATTATACCTTTCTTCTTCCCCTCTGTCATCCTCAGAAAAACATCCATTTTTAGTCGTCTTCTTCTTCAGTAGCCGGAAAGCTCTTTTATCATGCTCGCGGGTAGAGATACTGATATTTATAATCTGTAGGACCCAGAACATTTTTCCCCAGGTGGTGTGCTTTCACCTACATAAACACTAGCCTCAGAAAATAATAAAATTCCTTGAGCATTATTCATGCCTTAAATTTGAGCAACAGAAAATCACTAAAAGACGTATATTTACTCACATCAAATATTCATTTTTTTCATTCTCCAATGCAAAGTAACATTCATGGGCCCTCTGAGGCCTTCTCTTGCAGCAGCAGAAATGAAGATTAGCAAACTCCAAGATCCCTTTGTTGCTTTGTTTTTCTCCTTTCTCGTGTTCAGAGTCAAGGTTAGTGCTAAGTACTGCCATCTCTCAAGGCCATGCCAACATGGATATTTTGTTTAAACAAAAATGAGTACTGGCTGGTACTTTATCCCAAGGAGCATGGAGGTATTCACGGGCTCTTATTTTCCATCTGGTCAGCATTATCTTTAGCTGAAGATCAAGCCAGAGGAGGCCCGCTGAAGCTGAAAGACGTGTGCTCTCACCTGCCGCCCACCGTTTCCCTTCCCATAGTTTAGTCGGCATCTGACCAGGATAATTGTACCTTTTAGATGAAAGAGAGAGAACACAGAAAATTGATAAAGTGACAAACTTCTGCTTTTAGGTTCCTCTGCCTTTGACTTTAAAGAAAAGGAAACAAAATCCCTCCTTGCCATGCCCGCCACCTGAAGTTACATGCAGAGGGGATTATTCTATTGAATTTGGTGTACATCAAAGAAGCTCTGTTTGTCAAAATGAAGCCAGAGAAACCTCAGGATCTTAAAAAAAATAGGCACAAGAGACCATGAGACAAGGAACAAACACAAAAAGATAACTGTCTCCAATAAATGAGAAAGTGCCTCTCTTTCTGTTGTGAATCAGACGGGTTTGCTCTTGTAAAAACACAATGACAAGAATGTGTTTTAGGATATAAAACATAGCTACCATTTATTCAGCATACTTTTAAAAAAAAATATGCTTTTATTGGTTTCAGAGAGAGGGAGGGAGATAGAAACATCAACGATGAGAGAGAATCATTGATTGACTGCCTCCTACACCCCCCCTACTGGGGATCAAGCTGCAGCCTAGTCATGTGCCTGAACAGGAATCAAACCGTGACCTCCTGGTTCATGGGTTGATGCTCAACCACTGAGCCACACCAGCCAGGCTATTCAGCATCCTTCTAATTTCATTTATTCCTCCCTACTACTCTGCAAGTTGTGATGAGCTCCACTTAAAAGAGGGGAAATCTAAGCTCGGGGAACTGAAGTCACGTAACCAAGGTTTCACAGTTAAGGGTTGAGAGAAAGCAGGATTCACACCTGGGTTATCTCTCGGCTCGCTCTCATATGCCGTCAGTCCTCCATCTCACCAGTACAAAAGCCACGCCTCAGCCTTCTTATTCTAATGCACACTGGACCAGTTTCTGTTGCTCACTAAAGACCCTTCTATCCTCACATAATGTGAGAGACAACTTCTTGCAGAGGAAACTCTGAGAACATTAGGAGATATGAATGTTCCTTTAAGACATTGATGGGAAATTTGGATTATTTTTCTCCATTTTCCTTCTTTCTCATTTCCTTTATTGTAGCCAGAACTGGGTGTTTTTCTAGCTGGATCCCATCTAGCTGGTCATCTGCTGCTGTGAACTGTCTAAAGGGAAGCCTGAACTTAATTGCATGTGGCATAGTGAATGTGACGAGAGGGGCCTTATCATTACCGAATAGGCTCTAAGCACGGAATGGCACATGAGCAGCCTAAATGAGCTGCAGAGATGGGACACACTGTCTCTGACCAAAAGGGAGCAGAGCTGCAAGGCTGTGCCCGGAACCCTACCTCCCCTGCCTTATGGGTCTCTGAAGGGGCTGCAAAGCCTCTTCCTCCCCCCGTGGATACAATTTCCACAATTAAATGGCACTCACATGGGCCTTTTGCCTTGTTTCCAGTAGCAGCTTAAAAAAATGAGCCTCAGACGGAAATTTTACCCATTGTCATCGCTTATCGAACAACAATTTGAACTGAAGATATGAACATTACTTTTCCCTTTCTTTGTATTCTCTACTTGCCTAGCAGTTTTCTCAAAATACTAAAAAAAATCTTAGACATTTCAACTATAAAAGTAAATAGAACTTTTTAAATAAACTATAGAGGAGGCCATGGAAGGGTTTTGAGTAACCAAGTGATACAGGAATAGCAATGCTTTTTAAAGATTATCTGGCAAATGGTGTGTGAGATGAATTGGTAAAGGGAACAGAAAGACACCTTGGAAGGCTGGGTGCCTGATTAGGCTGTGGTGATACTCTAGGTGTGAGGGGAGAGGGGACAGAGCCAAGATCAAGTCTGGAGAATGAAAAGTGAAGTATATTTCAGAAGAAAAGGTATTTCACAACTGGTTAGAAGTGATGCAAAACACAAAGAATACAGACTGAGGTACCAAGCCTTGGGCACTGTGAGAATTGTGAGAGCAATGAGAGAGGTCAGAAGCAGCAACTGGTTCGAGCAGAGAAAGGACAATTTCTGAGTTAAATGGGCGCGGGGTGTGTGAGTGCGGGGTCTGGGGTTCCTGCTAGAGATGCAGATGGCAAGTCACCAGGGAGCAGACCCTCCCAGGGGAAAGATGCAGAAGCAGGAAGAAGAGAACTGGGGAACAAACTCTGGGAAATACTCCTATTTACAGTTTGGGTTTGATGAGCGACACTAAATAGAACATGAAAGGATAAGGCGGATAAAGAATTTGCATCGGTCATGGTCCTTAGCATATAACGGCCCCTCAAATTGATGTTTTAAATGCAAGAATGAATGTTTGTGTCATGGGGGGGGGGGGAATCAAATGTAAAGAGAGTTTCAAGATGGAGGAAATGGTTGATAGAGGTGTTGTTAAAATTAAAATATAAAGAAAGAATAATAATTTAAAAACTATTAGATTTGTCAACTAGAGGACATTGATGGTCTTTAGGTACTTTTTTAAAGGATGAAATCCCAGTAAGAAGAGTTTAAGGTGCAAGTTAGTGGTGAAGCAATTAAAACTATCTATATATATAAAAGGCTAATATGTAAAGTGTTCCCTCAGGAGTTCGACCATTGCTCAATATGACATGTACTGACCACCAGGGGCAGTGTGGAACAAAGGAAGGCCCTGGCCCAGCAGCCAGAAGGCCCCAATCAGCCCTGATCACTGGCCAGGCCTAGGGACCCTACCCATGCACAAATTTCATGCACTGGGCCTCTAGTCATAAATATTTACTGAATATAAATAATAATGTGTTTGGATAGTGAGCCAAAAATCTCTTATGTAGGTAATTATATAGTAGGAAGTTTACATTCATTTTAACACGCAGTTTGGAACTTTATAACAGTTGATATTATTATTTCTCAGTGGAACCCAAGGTATTCTCCTTTTAAGTAGCGCCCTAAATTCTCCCTTTGAAGGAACGGCTATACAGAGATTAAAGGTACAGGGGGAAGGGAGACGAGTCCAGGTATACTTAAGTCTTATTCTCTTACTGTTCTCTGCAGTGTGTATTTATTGAAATCCTACTTATAAAGAAATGATTCAAGGTGATTTATAAAAACTGTCTTTTCAATGGGAGAAAAAAATGTTTAATAAGTGGATGAAAAAATAAAATTTAAAAAGATAAGATAAAGTGAGATAAGAGTTAAAATATAAAATGTTCCCAGGATATTTCTGATAACAGGTTTAGGTCTTAGATTTACTATTTTGAAGTTTTCTAGAAGGGGACGTAGTAAGTTATAAGATCCATGTGTCCATGAGGAAAAGAAATGTTCCTGGGAGAAGCTCAATGTCTGTGGTTCCTCCAAAAGGAGACATTTTATTAATACAAAGAACAACATCCTTATAATAGACACAGCAATGAGTTTCATAAGGCTGCTTCTGTTAGTGCCCCTCAATGTAAGTGGATGGTATAAGGTCCAAGTATAAGCAA